ATACACTTACACATACAAATTCACATATGTGCATTCATATAGGCACACCACACACTCTCATACATCTGCACACACCATCACACATACATTTTCACACACAGACACACAGACACACACACACACACACACACACACACTGGAAGCCTCACTGCTTCCTGGCAACCAGCTGCCCAACTGGGAGCCTAAGTGCTAAGCGATTTCCCCCACCCCCAACCCTAATTCCTGAGTCTGCCCACAGAGAGCTCTGGCCCAACCTGAGCCTGGGGGACACCCATTCGTTTCGGGGCTCCCTGCTGTGGGGCCCTCAGTCACAGTCACGCCCTCATGCCGGCCACCCTGGTGGCTGAGCATCTGCCGGAACGGTCATCCATCAGGTGACTGAGGGCATGGAGGTCTTCTCTTGTCTGGAGTGCACTCCCATGACACAAGACCCCAGAGGTGTGGCCCGTCACCCAGAAAGTCAGCACGGGGGTTGGCGCTGGCTGGGATGGTGCTGGGAGCTTCGGGGCTGAAGATGTCCCGGGAGCCGGCCCCACCGCCCCCTCTTCCCATGCCCTGCCCCCTTTCTCCTCGGCCAGCAACAACCCTCCACCCCTGCTCCCAAGACAGGAGGGCAGCTCAGGGCGGGGAAGGCTGCATCAGGAATCCTCGCGGTGGGCAGAGACCCTGACAGGGGCCCCCAACGGCCCGACCCTCGGCCTGGATCCCTTCCAGACAGAGAGGATGATCGGGGACGCCATCCCACGTCTTCCAGCCGGGAGCCTCCCGAGGGGCAGAGAGGAAGCGCTTGGCCACGAGGGCAGATGTCCTGGTGCTTGCAGCAATTGCCCGGCCCCTGGACAGGGCACAACCCCCATGCCAGCTCAGCGGCCCTCTGCGGCAGGCCCCCAACAGGCTGCGGGTCAGGCTGCCCATGCCCACTCAGCTTCTCACTGAGCCCACACAGCTGGTCGTCCTGGTGTCCCCCGCCCCCCCGTGAGGAGATGGAGGCCCAGGGGACTCGGATGACTCAGTTCTGGCCACGGAGCCAGCCTGGAGGTTGGATTCTCTGGGACTCTGCAGGGCCCAGAGCTGAAGTTCCTCTTGGCCACACCCTTCCTGCCCCCCACCCAGGCTGTTTTCCCTCCACCCACGCGGACTCCACCCCCCATGCCCTTCCAGTCAGACCCACTCATAGTCCTCTGAGCAGCCTCATCCCTGGCTTCTGCCAGCCCAGAGGCTCAGGACCCATCGCCCCGTGTGAGCCCTTCAGCACCAGTGCCTGCCACCCGGCCCCGGGCAGCCTGTCCCATTGCTCACCGGGATTCTTACCCTCTGCTAGTAAACCAGGCCCTCCCATCCTTCCACACCCAGCTCTCTCCTTTGGAAGCTTTTGCTTGAGCCAACCCTGCACCCCGCCCCCCCGCTTTCTTGATCTTAGCCAGCAGAAAGCTGCCCCCCCTTCTCTACACCCACACTCTGTCCCCTGTGGTCCACCCGGAGCTGTGCATGGTACAGAGTAGCTGAACTGATGCCTCGGGTGAGAAAAAAAACAAAATCTCAATGCACATGACCTCGGGGAACATAGCGGAGAGATGTGGATGACGGCCGCCTCGCATCAAAGGCCAGTGCAAACAGTGAAGAGCAACAGGGCTTCCCCGCCAAGGGGCCCGGGATCCTGAGCTGGGCTGAGCTGCTCAGGGAGGCATTCACAACTGCTTGCTGCACTGAGTTTTCTTGCCTCTCCCTGAGATCCAGTATCGGTTCAGCAGTATCTGCCCTGCTCTTGTTCTAGGGAGGCCCTTGTTCTAGGGAGGAGGGCCGCAGGAAAACCCCAGGAAACGACAGGAGAGTGGTGTGTGGGAGGAGAATGTTCTCACTGGAAGGCAAGCTGGCAGGGCGAGCCTGAAGCCAGCACTCGTCGGTACTCAGGAGGTGGCACGGAGGGCCGGGAGTCACTCAGGGGCCGAGGGTGCCACCTTCACGGTCCTGCTGGTCCCCTGCATCCCTGACTCCTACCACTGAACCTTCAGCCCTATTGGCTGAACATTGCGGGCAGTGGCACTCGGCCCTCTGCTCACTGCTTGGATCCGTCCCCCTGCAGAAAAGAAAGAGTCAGACCAGTGTGGCCAGAAAAGAAACAGGAGGGAGGGGTGAGGAGTGAGCTGGGGGAAGGGGAGCTCTCCCCCCACACCCCAAGCTCAGTTTCTTAACACCAAAAGATGGTCCTTCCTGCCCTGCGCCCGGGGCAGGCTGCGTCCTAGCCTGCAGGGGGCACTGTGACCTCTGGCACTGCCCAGCACCCCTGAGCCCCGCAAATAAAAAACGTGTCACCCCGCCCCCACCACCACCAACGCGTTAACCAGACACTCCCTGAGTGTGACCTCGCGGAGTGTGCAAACAGCAACCGCCCCCCCCCCCATACACACACACACCAGCAAAGTAGGAGGGTGAAATTTCCCTGATTGCCTTCGGCTCTGGGTACATCTCTTCGATTCCGCTGTTCTTCCTGCATTAACAGCTGCCTCAGAGACCTGGGCCCTAGGAAAACAGGATGAGAAAACTATTCAGGTCTCCCAAAGAGGAATCGAAAGAGCTATGCTTGGAGTATCCCACTTTGCTCAAATGAGAGAAAGAATCCGGAGTTCCAACCTCCATTGACGATCAAGAATCAGGGACGCTCTCTTGTTTGCCAAGGCGTCGGAAATCACATGAGCCGGACACGTAATGAGATTTGGAGACGACCGCTGGACTAGAGCCATTACCGACTGGATTCCACAGGATGTCAAAAGATCCCGTGGCCACCCACCCACGAGATGGTCAGACTTCTTCGTCAAGATCCTGAACATGTTCCTAGAACGAGCAGACACCATTGGGCACGTGACAGGGATGAATGGAGACGTTACTGGCACTTGTTCGATCAAATCGAGGAGTAACGGAAAGTCAAGTGATCAAGTGACTGCCTTCATGGTTGTTACAACTGTGTGTTCAAAAAACAAGTCACAAGGCCGTGGTGGCTCTCTTTCTCGCCACCTGCGTTCCGTGGTCTCATGCTGCTTCCCCCACCCTGGGGTGGCTGAAGGAGGCCACGAAGGCCAGGCTGGTTGGTCTCAGTGTCAGTTTATTCCAATCTCATCTCCATTCTCTCCTGATTCTCCCTCCCCCCGATCTTCCCCTTCCTCGATCCCCCTCATCCTCTTCTAATATCCTGCCCCTTCATACTTCTCCTTCCTGCTTCTGCCTACCTCAGCCCATTCTTACGGCCTTCATTATATCCCCAATCATGAGGGGTTGAGGTAACAGTTACACGTAGGAGTCGTCATACAATCAACGGATGTAAGGTCCTTCCCTCAGGGAAAGCTTCTTCTAGGACAGATTCTCATCCAGCAAGACCACTGGCCTAAGGGCGAAATATGAGTGTGTTTCTCCTCTCCTTAGTCCAACAAACATATAAACATTCATAATATTAGTCATTTTCTATGGACACAGTAGGAGATACGTTAAGCTTACAGGATGGGTCTCCTGGGACCATCTCGCTATAGCCCTCAGACTACAGTGCTCAGGCCAGATTAGTCTTTCCTAACTCTAGCAGGATCCTAATCCAGTTGTTATTTTTTGGATCATGACAGAATTTGTCTGTGACCACGCTCTTAACTTATAGTTAAGTATTGTGGCACTTTGGCCAGGTCCATTTCGATGCCAGGGTAACTCACAGTTTGACCTGGGTCCATTCAGTCCCTTGTCGGGACCCTGCTTTTGGGGTACTAGGAACTAAGGGCAACTGAGGCTTAAGTCGAGAAGGCAGATGCCCAGGAGTGAATATCATTCAGAGTCAATTAACTCCCAGTTACAAAAACATAGCATTAGCTGTCTTCCTGTGTCTATACAAAAAGGACTTTGCTCTGAAATAACTATGCAAAGGACATAAGAGAAGGAGAAAAGCAACATTTCATTCAAAAATATAAAATCACAGATTTCTGAGGAATCTGACCTTGCACGTTAACTGAGTCTGATCAGGAGAAGAAGGTGATAGACCGGTTGGGGAAGAGAGCACAGAGAAGAGTTTACAGATAAACGAAGAGGAATGGAAGTGCCTCGGGAGCACTGTGACAACCCTGAGCTCCCCGAGGCAAGGGAAACAGGACATACCAATGTCATCCTAAAATGTTCAGAGCTATATTCCAATAAACAGAGGAATGGAGGAGCTTCGGGAGCGTTGTGATGGGTATTACTCAGTAAACCTAAACTCCTTGTTGCAAAGGAGAAAACACAGACCAATGTTCTCCTACAACAGCGATGGTGGGGGGGGTGCTGGGCTGTGGTGCTCCTACCGTTTGCAGGGAGGGACCCCACCTGATGATGCTCAGGCCTTACTCCTGGCTCTGGACTCAGGAATCACACCTGGTGGTGCTCAGGAGACCCTAGGGGGAGTCGGAGATCAAACCCGGGTGGGTTGTATGCAGGGCCAGCGCATCACCTGCTGTACTGTCTCTGTGGCTCTGGGCTTGACACGCCTTGTCCTGGGGCTTGTATTTGCCGAAGCTTTGGGGCAGGGTCCCTCTGGAGGGGCTGAGCCCTGAGCATGTGTCGCTGGCCACCCTGAGCCCCACCAGAGACCAACACGGGCCTGGGACAGCACCAGGCAGGACGGGGAGCAGAAACAAGCCTAGCACAGGGCTGGCTGTGAGCGAGCACAGATCCCCCTCTGGGGGCTGCAGCTCTGCATTTCCACAAAATGGGGCACACAGGGGGCCTCCACTGGGACCCAGGGTCACTGCCGGGGAGGTTCAGGTGTCCCAACTATGCAGGTAGATGTGACCAAGGGGGCCATCCAGAGAGCACCTCACCTTCCCCATCCTCCCCAAGAGCGAGGGGACCCTCCCCAAGAGTAAAGGAGCTGGTAGCTCCCCAACTCTGGCCAGGGCCCCCCAGAGCCATCATCAGCTGGGTGGGCCGAGGGGCAGTGCAGAGCCCCCCTGCGGGTGCAGCTCTGGGTGTGACCAGGTCTCCTTCTGCCTCAGCTGAAAGCCACGGACGCGGATGAAGGCGAGTTCGGGCGTGTGTGGTACCGCATCCTTCAGGGTGAGTGCTGTCCCGCACGCAGAGGGCCCCTGCCCTGTCCAGGCGGCCTGGGGCTGAGTCTGCGGGTGGGCCAGAGGGGACACAGGGACACTGCTCGCCACCCGCTCACCACCAGGTCTGATGCCATTTAGGTGTGGGTGCTGCTTAGTCTGTTCCTTGGTTCTGCCCCAGCTCCCTCGGCCCAAAGTGCTTCTCAAGGTCATCACCCTCACTGGCCAGCACCCCAGAGTGAAAGGCTCTCGTGCCCATCCTGAGCCTGTCACTGTGGTCTTGGACACGAGGTCAGCTCCACGGACCAGCTTCTCAGTGGTCTGACAAGAGCCTGTCCGGTGAGACAGGCTGGCCTGTGTGCCCCCTCATTCCCTGTCCCAGTTCATGTGGCCTGAGGGCAGAGGCAGGCGGGTCCCGAAAGCAAAGTCAGGGTCCTGTCAGTGAAAGGGCACTGGACGCGGCCCCAGATGGTCTATGGAAGCCCAGGCCTGCCCACCCACCCATCCACCAAGAATTTGCTCTGGCTTCCTCGGGGTGGGCCCAGGTCCCTCTGAAACGTGAAATTCCCGGGCACCCTGGCATGGAGGTCTCAGGGCACATAAGGCTTCTGGGGGCTCGGGGCACTTGTGACTCTTCCCTCAAACCCCACCGGCCAGAGGCAGGGCTCATGGCATTGTGGGCCCCCCAAGTTCTGGAGTTCCCCCCACTTTTCCTGCGCTCCAAAGAAGAGACCTGTGCTTCTCACCTGTCCCCCTCACAGGTAACCAAGACAACAACTTCCGGATCCACGTCAGCAGCGGGCTCCTGATGCGGGGACCACGGGCCCTGGACCGGGAGCGGAACTCATCCCACGTGCTGCTGGTGGAGGCCTACAACCACGACCTGGGCCCCATGCGGAGCTCTGTGAGGGTGAGGCCGGGCGCGGGGCGGCCAGGGGCAACCGGACACGCAGCAGTTGGTCTCCAGTTAGGGCAGGCCCAGCCCTGGTTCAGGGGCCGAGTGACGGAGCGGGCTCAGCCTCGTCTGGCATCTCAGATGGGCCATTTCACTCTGAGCCCATCTCTCTGAACCTGGAAGGCAACCGGGTCTGTCCTGGGGGTGGAAGAGGTGTCAGGGGTTCAAGTTTATCTTGTACTGGTGAAGAGGATGCGTCCCAGTCCCTCCTCAGGGCCAGGCCTCTCCTGTATGCGGCATCACTCGTCGTGTCCCTCAATCCCGGGTCCACATGAGGATGTCCTGGTCCTCAGCGTCCGCTCCCCTGTGGTGTTCAATGACCGGGTGTTGTCCTGATGCCATGCTCTGCCCAGTGCCCGCCATCCTGGTCTGAATTCTGCCGCTGGGACCTTGTCCCCCTGGTTCCTTGCTAGGGCTCCTACTCTGTGACTGGCCGCTGGGCCTCTTTGGAACTTTGCACCAACGGCTCTCGGTCCCCTCGGTCTTCCTTAGACTCTGGCCATGGCCACATGTGCGTGGGTAAGACCCCTCCTGTCCTGCTGGGCACAGGTGAGGGGGCAGAGAGCATTGGCTGGCCAGGGGTTCCCTTTATCTTCTCTGTGCTCCCCTCCCCTCCCTAGCTGTCCTGTTCCCTGTTTTGACTGGAGACCTTTCCGGCAGATGAGGTATAAAATGACCAATCAGTGGCCAAAGAGATAGTCCAGCGCGGAAGGCACTTGCCATGCACACAACCAACCCAGTTTCTATCCTGGACACCTCAGAGGGTCCCCGAGCCCACCAGGAGTGATCCCTGAGCTTAGAGCCAAGAGGAAGCCCCGAGCAGCCCTGGAGGTGGCCTAAAAGCCAAAAAATAAAAAAATCACAAAAATAAATGGCCAATGAAATGAACTCAGACTGAACAGAACCTGGGCTTGGGCTTGGGCCAGGCCCATGGAGCCAGGCCTCAGCCCCTGCTCAGCCCGGACCCGGCAGCCCTGATGCTTCCTGCACATCTGTGCCTCTCGGGTCTGCAAACCACACACCCTCTTGCCAGTCTCGCTGCTAAAAACGAGGCTGAAACCAATAGCAGCAACCAACCTGGGGCGTGTGGCCAGCCTCTGGAGGACGCCACACCCAGGCTCCCTGCTCACCCCCTCCTCATAACCACATCAGGCCAGGCCAGGAGGGGGACCCGCCCCGCCCCCAGGCTTAGGTTGGGGCCATTTAGACGTGGACCGGAGAGGCTTGCTGCTTCCAAGTGTGGAGGGCCAGCTTCTATTCCCCAGCTCTCTCCAGGCAAATCGCTCACTGCCCCAGGCCCGAACACTCCAAACACTCTGCGTCCCGCCCCTCCAGGATTGGCCCCAGCTGAGTTCGGGGTGAAACCAGACCCAGAGGGTTCCTGCTGTGAAGAGCCTGGAGGGGGAGGGGCGGATGCTGTCGTTTGCATATGGGGTTCTGGGTGTCTGGAGCTGAAAACTGATGATCTGGCAGGGCTGCAGAGCTCCAGAGCCCCAAAGGAGAGAGGCTTGTGCGCAACTGCCCGCCCACCCCCCCACCAGGCCTCCGCACTATACCCCCTAATTCTCAGCAAAACCCAGAGACTGGTCCCAGCGGTAGGGAATCAGTCAGAAACTAGACACACGGCACTGCGCCAGGGCAGGGAGACTTGTGAAATCTGCTCCTCCCCTTCACTCTGCTGACCCCAAAGGAGGGGGCTTCTCCCGTTCACAGGCCCCCTTAGCCCAGTACAGAACCACAAGCAGGGCTCAAGAGATAGTACAGGGGAGAAGGCGCTTGCCTTGCATGCAGCCGGCCCAGGTTCAGTCCCCGGCACTGCATATAGTCCCTTGAGCACCACCAAGGAAGAGCACCGGAAGCCAGAAGCAGTGAGGTTGGTAGCAGGGAGCTGGGATCACCCCACCCTGTTCCGGCCCTCTCTTCCGAGGCCATTGTGGGTCAGCTCTGGGCACTGCTCCCCGAGGGGAGAGAGGAGCTAAGAGCCTCTGACCATCTCCATCAGCTGCCCTTCTATTTTTCAGTTTATTATATTTTAATTTTATTGATTTGGGGGTCGGTCAGATACTCTCAGTAACTTGCCGGGTTCCCTGCACGGCAAAGCCTGGCAAGCTACTCGTGTCGTATTCGAGATGCCAAACACAGTAACAACAAGTCTCACAATGGAGACGTTACTGGGCCTGCTCGAGCAAATCGATGGACAACGGGAGATCAGATCTACAGTGCTACAGATTTGGGGGTGGGGGGCACACCCAGCGTTGCTTGGGCCTTACTCCAGGCTCTGTGCTTAGGGCTCACCTCTGGTGGGACCCTCGGGAACCCTATGAGGTGTCGGGATCAAGCTTCTGTCAGATGTGTGCAAGGCCAGTGCCCACCCCACTGCCCTGTCCCCCCAGCTCGCTGTCCCTCTCGGCTCCGTCCTGGGCCAGCCCTCACCTGCCCTTGCCTCCAGGCTGCACTAGCCCACAGACGTTTCCACGGGAGCCTCGAAACTGTCGTAAGGCTCCGTGTGTCTTAAAGAGAAGCCGGGGCATCTGGCATGGCGGTGACGAACGGCACTAACAATCGCAATATCCTGGAAGTGCCCCAGAGGGGAGCCCAGGGACCCGAACAGAGGAACCCCTTTAGCTCCCCTTCCAGAGACCACCAGGAGGGGCGTAGGGCCAGGATGAAAAGACTCAGGACAGCACCAGCAGGAGAAAGTCCCCTCGACTGCCTAGGGACCTTGGGAGCCGCCGGCCGCTGGGCAGGAGTTGAGTATGTGGTCCCCACAGCCAGGTCGGGGGGAGGATGGACCCCCAGAGAACCACAGGCCTCCAGGAAGGTCTCAGCACCTCCAGGGCTCGAACACCAGCAACCCTTTGACTTTCCCTGTCCTCTGAGGTGCTGTGTGTTTGTTTCTCTCTTACCATGACTTTGTACTGGCCCATTCCCCCGACCTCTGTGCAGTTACAGGCATGTTTTCCCTCCTCTTTCCCCTCCCTGTCTTGATGATGATGCTCGGACTGTGGGAATGGTGCTCCCTGGGGCCACACTATGCGCCCCTGAAGTCACACTTCCTGACTGTGGTGCTCACGCTCTTTTTTTAATTGAAGTGTTCATCAGGGAACACGCCCCTCTTGCATACATATTTGGCAACTAGATATCGCCTGTGGCACCAGGGATCCAGACAGCAGAGCTCCCCAGCATGCTTGGCGCATGTGAGACACCAGGGATTTGAACTTGGGACCAAATGCCTGCAAGGCAGATGCTCCAAGCCCCATCACTGCGCCTCCAGGACTCTGCTGTGATGGTTAGATGACATCACTTGAAATCTCTTCAAGCCCTTAATGCATGGCTCATTTGCTCTTCATGACACCCTTCACAGTGCCACAGGGACAGACTCTCATTCTGTTATACCCCGTTATTCACCAGGGTTAGTAGCAGGGCTAAGAATAAGAAAAGCTCCTTTGTCCCTTAACAATGTCTCTGCCAAGGGGTAGGGGGCACGGAGACCCTCTAGAGAGCGCCAGGCTGCCCGCAGGAGCGTGTGGCACCAGGGAGAACAATGACCACACGGGCCCGGCCTGACCCGCTCCCTGCCCACAGGTGATTGTGTACGTGGAGGACATCAACGATGAGGTGCCCGTGTTCACGCAGCAGCAGTACAGCCGCCTGGGGCTCCGGGAGACGGCGGGCATCGGCACGTCGGTCATCGTGGTGCGGGCCACCGACCGAGACACAGGTGAGGCCGGCGGAGGGGGTCGTAGGCCCAGAGGGACCCTCCGGCACTCACCCACCCCCTCCTCCCCCTCATGGAGACCCACATCCCAGCAGGGGACAGGGAGGTCCCGGCTAGAGACCCACACTCGGCTGGACAGGGCTGGGGTGTCGAGGATCATGGGCTCACGGACGCCTGTCCCTCCAGCCAAGGGGTGGAGAAGGTGGTCTTCCCTGGAAGCACCCCCCAACCTTGGCACCGACCCTGAGTCCCAGAAATGGCCAAACACAGCAAAACGGGTTCATTGGCCTGGATCTTCCTCCCTGTCCAGTCCTGTATCCCGACCCGAGAAACACTAGGGGGAGTGTTTCCAGGGCTTCACTGCCCCTCACTCTCCGCCCAGACCCTCCCAGGGGCCCCCCTGGTGGGAGGGGCAGCCGCTGTGAAACCCCCCAGGCTGGCCTGCCCTGCAGGTGCATGTTCGTCCCATGAGGGTCACGGCGTAGAGCTGTGGCCAGGGCTTGGGGCCTCCTCTGGGCCTGGACCCTGTGAGGGGGGCGGGGCGTCAGCATGGATTCTGGGGGGCAGAACCCACTTGAGCTGGGGACCCAACTCACAGGCGACTCGAGGGGCGGGGGGGGGCAGTGTCAGCTCCTTCTCTGGGGTATCTGAGAACTGTGTCTTGAGAGACGCCACCCCCAGACCCTGGCTCAAGGAAGTCTTCTCTTCCCGGGCACGTGGACTTGGGTCCCAGGGCGTAGGGAGGACAGGGACCGGGCCCTGGCTGGAGGGACTGAATGTGCCCGTCTCGGCAGGGCTGCCTCTGCTCGGCGCCCTTGCTGTGACCGTGCAAAGGCCCACGCCGGGGGTTGGGGTTGCACTTGTGGTTGGATCTTGAGACTCGGAAGCAGAATCTTCCTGCCCTGCAACCATCCCACATGCCCAGGACAGGTCCCAGATGGGGCTGGCAGTGGGGTTGAGCCCGGCTGTCTGCACAGACCCCAGCCGGGGTGGGGGGGCGGGGTACGGCGGGAGTGCATGAGCAGCTGGACGAGGCTGCTGTCCTGCAGGGGACGGCGGTCTGGTCAACTACCGCATCCTGTCGGGGGCCGAGGGCAAGTTCGAGATCGACGAGAGCACGGGGCTCATCACCACCGTGGACTACCTGGACTACGAGACCAAGACCAGCTACCTGATGAACGTGTCGGCCACCGACCGGGCGCCCCCCTTCAACCAGGGCTTCTGCAGCGTCCACGTCACCCTGCTCAACGAGCTGGATGAGGCCGTGCAGTTCTCCAACGCCTCCTACGAGGTGGCCGTCCTGGAGAACCTGGCTCTGGGCACCGAGATCGTGCGCGTCCAGGCCTTCTCCCTGGACAACCTCAACCAGATCACTTACCGCTTCGACGCCTACACCAGCGCCCAGGCCAAGGCCCTCTTCAGGATCGACCCCATCACGGTGAGGGGCGGGGCAGGGGCCTTGTCCCTCCGGAGCCCCCCTCCCTTATCGAGCACCTCCTTCAGAGCCGCCTGTTTCCCGTGTCACAAAGTGCCTGGGACTAGCTGTCCCCGTGAGGTCTCTTTGCACGTCCTGGTGTCTTCCTGTGGCTGGGTGTGAAGTCGCTGCCCGCCCCTGACCATGTTTCGTTTCTTGCCTCGCCTGGCAGGAAGCTCTTGTCACAAAGGAGCTTGGTGGCAGCCACTGTGTGTGTTTGGCTTTTGGTTTGGGGGTCACACCCAGCAGTGCTCAGGGCTTCCTCCTGGCTCTGAGCTCAGGGATCACCCCTGGCAGGCTCGGGGGACCACAGGGGATGCAGGAATCACACTCACTCAGCAGGGTGCAGAGCAAATGCCCAGGCAGCAAGGTATCTGATGTGGCTTTTCCGTTGGACCACGTGGCTCTGGTTGCCCGGTCTTTGCTTTGAGGATAGCAAGGTGTGAATGGTGAGCTTTTCTCGGGGGGATACTTAGACATGGAACATGAAGACCTCTCTGCAGCCACGGGGGGCTCACGGGCTAGTGTTAGAAGTGAGAATCATCAAGGCTGCAGAACCAAGACACAGGGGAGATCAAGACATTTACCATCCAGGTATCCAGGGGGCCTGTGTGACCACGGGAGAGAGTGAGCCAGGCTGCTGGGGGTGCAGAAAACCTGCCTTGAAGAGGCCCCCGTGGGAGGTTCTGTGACAGGGTTCCTGGAGAAGGGAGGAACAGAGGGACATTGCTGGGGTGGGAGTGCTGAGACCTGGGGTCAGGCGGGAGCAGGGCAGTGTGTAGGGCTGGCTGGGGATCCGGATTTGTGGGTGTGGGTGGGTGGGATGACATGTGGGGTCGGATGGGAGTGGGGAAGCGTATAGGGCTGGCTGGGGGCTCTCAATCTGTGGGTGCCTGGGACACAGAGGTTGGACGGGGGTCGGGCGGGAGTGGGGTCTGGATTTGCGGGTGCTGGTGTGTGGCCCACCCCTCACCCATCCGGGCTCCCTGCAGGGTGTGATCACGGTCAAGGGCCTGGTGGACAGGGAGAAAGGGGACTTCTACACCTTGACGGTGGTGGCAGACGATGGCGGCCCGAAGGTGGATTCCACGGTGGTGAGTGCGCCCCCTCAGCACCAGAACCCGTGCTTCGCCAGCACCCAGCCCTGGGCCGGGCAGGGGGAGGGCACCGCGGCCCAGGCGTGGGGCTGGGGTGATGGACGGCTGAAGCACCGCAAACCACTGACCGCCTGCTTCTCTGCCTTTTCTCTCGGCCTCCGCCTGCCACGCTGCCACAGAAGGTGAGTCCACGGACGGCTTCTCCCGTGGCTCGGCCACGCGTCAGGGGCCACCGGAGCCTGGCCAGACCCTCCACCACCTCCTCAGGCCTCGCTGCAGAGGCCAGGTCCCTCCCGAACCTGTTCCTCAGGTCCAGCTCTGCTCCCCCCTCCCCTTCCTGCTCAGCCCCGGGGGAGTCGAGGGGGCCCAGCGGGGAAACTGAGGGCTGGGGCGTGTATCCTGCATGCGAGAGCCCTGGGCTTGTTTCCTGGTACCACCAGGTCTCCCAAACAGCACAGAGGACCTGCCACAGCTGTGCGATGCAGGCAGGCCACCCACCCTCTCTGTTCCCTTCCTCCAATATGCACTGAGGGCGCCACACCCTGCCTTGCTCAAGGCCAGGAGAGGGCTGGGAGGGCCTCAGGGACCAGGCTGGAGGGGGCAGGGAGCAGGGGGTCCTGTCAGAGGGGCCCCTGAATTCTTGGGGGTCCCTGTGAGGGTGTGTGATACAACAGTGCATGTGGACGGCACATGTGGATGGCGCATGTAGATGGTGTGTGTGGATGGTGCATATGTGGACAATGCATGTGTGGACGGCGCATGTGGATGGTATGTGTGGACGGTGCGTGTGGCTGGTGCATGTGTGGATGGCACGTGTGGGCGGCGCATGTGTGGATGGTGCATGTAGATGGTGCCTATGTGGATGGTGCGTGTGTGGACAGCGTGTATGGATGGTGTGTGTGGATCATGAGTGTGGACGGCGCGTGTTGAATGGGGTGCATGGTGCCCAGGCCTGGGTAGGTCTGGGCAAGGACAGCCAATGGCCTCCAAGACACTTAGTACGGGGAGGGGGGGGGGGGGCATATGCTGGGACCACTACAGAGGGTGTCTGCTGGGGTGGGGTGGGCTGGGGACTCAGGTGGGGGATGACACGGGGGTTGGGGCTGCTGGGGCAGCTCCCAGCATTGGTCATCAGAGTGATCCCTGACTCCGCCCAGACTGGCCTGGCAGGTCTGCAATCACCTGGAGAGCCCAGGACCTCCAGCACCTCATCGGCCATGGACCTGGCCACATGGCCACTCCCTCAGAGTCCCTGTCACCAGCCCACAACAGGCCCACTGCGGAGCCCCTCTGCCCCCCACCCTCCACTCAGGGCACCTGGTTGCCTTCATGCCCCTCCCCACCCTGAGGCCGGGAGGCCTAAGCAGCCGTGAGTCCTCAGGGCTGGGGGGCAGGTTGCAGGCCCTCTGGGCAGCTTCCTGAGTCGCACCCCACTCCCTGTTGTTGTGCAGTGCCAGGCCTGGGGGGGCTGAGACGCCTCAGGGTGGCCAGCTGCCCCCCAAGGCCGCCCCAGCCCTCGGGGCACCGCCGCGCTTCCTGTGTGTGCGAGGGGGGCTTTCGCAGCTCCCCCTCTTCCAGGAAGCGGCAGCCCTGCTCTGGCTCTGCCGACTTCCCCTCTCAGAGGCCCGGCCGCTGCCCCAGATCCACCAGCCCCACTGCCTTCCGCCACCCCCTTGCTGCTGGCTCAGAGGGCGGAGGCGGTGGAGGCTTTGAAAGGTGCCCCATTTCCCCTGCAGGGGGGCCCGAAACCACAGCTCACCTGCACCTGGCTTCCCTGGGAGGGGGATGGAGGCGCGCAGCAAGGGGTGCCCTGGCCCTGCAGAGGCTGGGGAGGCAGGGGCTGCCGAGGGGGGGCGCACCGGCCAGCTCTGGTTCCCACTGCCCACTCCCCTCACCCGCTGAGGCTTCCCTCCTGCTTCTGGGTCATGCCCCTTGTATCAGCTTCCGAGTGGGCATCCCTGCTACGTGCCCAGCAGGAAACCAGGCAGGATAGAGTCGGGAGGACACTGGGCAAGTGATCTCACCTAGGCACTCACCAGAGAGCCGGAACAAGGGCTCAGGGTCCGAGAAGTTGCTCAAAGGCCTGAGCGTGTGCTTTGCATGTGGAGTTCATGCCCCAGCGCCATGGAGGCATCATGCCCTGGGCACAGAGCCGGGAGTGGTCCCTGTGCAGCCCTGGGCATGGCTGGGAAGCAGATGAGATGTGGGGGGGGGGGGTGGCAGCACTGCACCCCCAGGACCCTCCCCCCTCCCTCCCCCATTGCTGCTCTCCCCAGCACCAGCAGAGGACGGGAGGGAAAAGCCCAGGGCTGAGGAAAGCCGGAGTGGCTGGTTTGTGCCGAGAGTTGGCGGGTCAGCTTGCTCCTCACACCCCCACCGGAGCCCAGGGTTTGGGCAGGGGAGGACAGAGGTGGCCGGTCTCTGCCCCCATCTCTCCCCTGCCCAGGTGTACATCACGGTGCTGGACGAGAACGACAACAGCCCCCGGTTCGATGTCACCTCCGACTCGGCGGTCAGCGTGCCGGAGGACTGCCCCGTCGGCCAGCGTGTGGCCACAGTCAAGGCCCGGGACCCCGACGCCGGCAGCAATGGGCAGGTGGGGACAGAGCAGGATTGGCCCATCTAAGGGGCGTCTCAGCCATCCGCACCCTGATGGGGCCGCAGGGTTCTCTCCGGCCCTGCTTCCCTCCAGCCTGGGGTCGGGAGAACAGAGCCCGGCAGCCCCTAAAACACAGTCTGGCGGCCACACAGCAGCCGGAGCCAGCAGGAAGCTCCTCTAGGGCCAGCTCCAGGGGACGTCCTCCAGCTCCTGCATCTTGGGGTCCTCTGTCAGCAGAGGGAAGCCCCATCTCCCCAGAGCACGAGATGGGGGAGGGTGGCTGCGGGGGCGAGGCAGGTGGGCCACTGAGAGGTGAGTCGCTGAGCTGCGGTGGGGGTTGTCGGGTGCCCCCATCATGATGGGGACGGCCTGTGCACCCCTGGGAGGCTGCGGCTGGCTCTGGGGTTGGGCCAGAGCATGTGGGTTCAGGTCCTCATTCTCGTGGGTGCCTCCAAGCTGGGCCAGTCTTCCCTGTCTCGGAAGCCCCAGACAACAGGGGCTGTTGTTTCACCCGTATTGTCCAGGGGACAGCAGGAGCCCTGGGGAGTGGGGGTAGTGGCCCCTCCCGCCCCACCCTGTCTGGAGGAGCATCAGTGCCCCAGGAGCTGCCCCTAGGAAGCCCCAGTGTGCACACAGCCTCTCCCAGGACCCTCCACAGGCCCCTCCGCAACCCCTTGTGCCTGGAAGCCTCTTCCCCGGGACCCTGGGCAGCTGTGCAATCATGCGCCCCCCCTCCCGGCCCCTCCCGTGGCTCCCCACAGGTGGTCTTCTCCCTGGCCTCGGGCAACATCGGGGGAGCGTTTGAGATCATCACCAGCAACGACTCCATCGGGGAAGTGTTTGTGGCCAGGCCCCTGGACAGAGAAGAGCTGGACCACTACATCCTCAAGGTGGGCCCCAGGAACACGGCTGACCGTCCAGGGGAGCACTCTGGCGGGCAGTGTCCCTCTCACAGCTATAGACAGAGCGTGAGGCCAGCCTGGGGGAAGTGGCCCGAAGGAGGCTCCAGGCCCCGGTGGGAAGCAGGGAGGTGCGTGTCCCTCTGCGGGGCGGGAGGGAGCCCCAAGCCCTGTCCCGATGCTGGGCAGGACGAGGCCAGCTTCGAGCCCTCCCCCAATGGACCTGATGTGACCTGGGGAAGGTTCAGTCCTCAGAACGGGCCTCAGTCTCCCCGCTCATGCCAGGCCAAGACTGAGCCTGCCTCTCCTGAGGTGATGGACAGTGCTGGGGGCTGGGGGTCGGGTCGCAGCACCCCGACGGCTGTTCACACTGTGGCAGGCAGAGTTTCCCGGAGTACTTCCACTGGACCCTCAGCTTCCGGTGCGAATTTGGCACCCAGGCCCGCCTCTACGACCAGGACGGTCTCTCGCCTGGGCTCAGGCCCGTGCCCGGGTTCCGGTGAGGGGCTGCTATGGCCCAGAATAGAACCTGGGCGAGCCTGGGCACCCTGAGTGGGTTCCAAAGGATAGATGGTCCCGGTCAGACAGGGAGAGGGCAGGGCTGGCCAGAGAGCCAAAGCTGGGGGGCACCCGGGCCAGCACGCCCTGGGAAGACTGGCCACACCCCTGCCCTCTCCGGGCCTCTCCGCGACCACCGTTCATGCCCCCCTCCCCTCCCCGCAGGTCGTGGCCTCTGACCGAGGCAGCCCCCCACGGAAGAAGGACCACATCCTGCAAGTGACCATCCTGGACGTCAATGACAACCCCCCGGTGATCGAGAGCCCGTTTGGCTACAACGTCAGCGTGAACGAGGTGAGGGCAGGGGGCGAGGGGTCTGGGGGGCAGCAGACACAGGCCACCGTGATGCAGCGAGTTTGGGGAGTGGGAGAATGTGTTTTCTTCTTTCCCGGGAGGGGAGGGGAGGGAAGAGCAGGGAGACGGACGTCCGACACGGATGGGCATCTGGAGTTGCTGGGGCCGAGCAGCCTTTCAGGGCCCAGCCCGGCAGTGCTCAGGGCTGCCTCCTGGCAGGCGTGGGAGACGATGTGGGATGCCGGGGGACCGAACCTGGGACGCAAGGCAAGCGAGTGCTCCACCCGCTGGACTCTCGCTCTGGCCCAGGATACGTTTATTCTTCAACCCTAACGTGGAGTCACTCGAGGGGCCTTTTGTCCCCATGCTGCCCCGTCCTGACCCCCTTCCAGCTGCAGAGCCCCGCCCAGCCTCAGGCTGTGGGATCCGCAGCCCCCCCGCCCCCCGTGCATCTCTGCACCTCATAAGGAGGGGTTGCCATGGGAGCACGGCCAGCCTGTTTACAGCCTCCTCCATCCATGGCGCGGAACTGCAGGGCCATTGGGGCCCTGGGGGGCTCTCAGGAGCAGGGGTCGGCACTGCACCCTTATACACAGAACCTCTGCCCTTCCCGCTCTCCCCACAGAACGTGGGCGGGGGCACCGCCGTGGTCCAGGTGAGAGCCACGGACCGCGACATCGGCCTCAACAGCGTCCTGTCCTACTACATCACCGCCGGTAACGACGACATGACCTTCCGCATGGACCGCATCAGCGGGGAGATCGCCACGCGCCCCGCCCCGCCCGACCGGGAGCGCCAGAGCTTCTACCACCTGGTGGTCACCGTGGAGGACGAGGGCACCCCCACCCTGTCGGTGAGTGGGGGGAGGGCGCGCAGAGGGGGGGGGACGGGGGGAATCCTCCACGGCGCCGTGAAAACAGAGCGTGTGTGCAAACCCGGCTGCAGCCCGCCGGCCCACCTCGGTGGTTATTAGCAGCCGGTGTGCAAGAGGACCCCATCCTCAGGTTGAAAAGGTTGGAAGCCACTGTTTTC